CAGCAGCAGCAGTAGTAGTAGAAGTAGTAGTAGTAGTAGTAGTCTAGTAATAGTAGTTGAAAGTACTAGTAGTGGTAGTAGTGGTATTAGAAGAAGAAGAAGAAGAAGAAGAAGAAGAAGAAGAAGAAGAAGAAGAAGAAGGAGAAGAAGAAGAAGGGTGCAAAGTGGCGCTGCCATGGGCGCCGTGAAGCAGTAATCACTGTAGCTGGAGGAAAGCTGAAGGCTGATCCGAAGGAGGAGTAGTACGAAGGGAAGCAGAGAAACGAGAGAAGCGTTAGAGTGGAGTAAGAAAGAAAATAGAGGGGAGGGAGACGGTGAACGCGTCACGGTAAAGAGGGTAGAAAAAGAGAAGGGTGGTTGGCAAGAGAGGAAAAGAGATGGCTGAGGGTTCGAGAAGCGAGAGGGAAGGTCTCATCAGACGCGTCAGTCGCCTCTGGCGCCGCGTTTCCACCATCTCTCCTTCGTCTTTTCTTCCTTCTCAAGCTCCTACCATTTCATTCTCTCTCTCTCTCTCTCTCTCTCTCTCTCTCTCTCTTTCTCTCTTTTTCTTTCTTTCTCTCTATATCTCTCTTTTTCTTGCACTCTCTCGCTCTTTTTCACACATACACATACACACACTCATACACATACACACACATACAATCGCACCATCTTGTTCGATTCCATCTCGCTTTAGACTCGCTTCAGCTCTTTCGAAAAAGGACCACCGTTCTGACCAATTCTTTTAACTTTGCAAAATACGTAACTTACATTTTTTTGTTCTTTTTTTCCTGTTCTTTCCCCCTCCCCTCTTTACTTCTTCCATGAGATAACTCGTTAACTATTGCAATCGTTTGCGTTTCGAAGAAAAAAAAAGGAGAGAGAGAGAGAGAGAGAGAGAGAGAGAAAGAAAAAAATCGATATGTACCTACTGAAATATTAATGACGTATAAAAAAAAGAAAAAAAAAGAAAAAAAAAAGAACAGAAAAAAAGAAGGAAAAAAGAACAGACAAAAAAGAAGGAAAAAAGAAAGAGAAGGGAAAATAAAGAAAAAGGAAGATCGGGTAGAAATATTGTCCGTTGTCATTGATTTTTATTACATATTTGAAAGTTTTCGAATGAAATTTCGAAGGTAAAAAATTAATCACGGACTAATCGCGAATTTGTCTCGTCTCTCTCTCTCTCTCTCTCTCTCTCTCTCTCTCTCTCTCGACATCGTTATAAGGATAACATCGTGAAAACGTGATCGCCTGGCAGGTAGACCAGACCTTCGATGAAAACTTTTCAGAGGTTGGAGAATGAGTAGAAGGAGAAGCTAGAGATAAGAAACGAGATAACTAACTCGTCGTTTAATTGAGCTGATTTAAGTTAGTTCGTGGAAGAAAGAAAGAAAGAGAGAGAAACAGAGAGAGAGAGAGAGAAAGAGAGAATTGGTGCGTTTAACGCGGTAAACTTCTAGCAACGTTAAAATTTACGTTTTATTTTTTTTTTTCAGAAGTCATACTTATTTTCATTTCTTTCTCTCTCTCTCTCTCTCTCTCTCTCTCTCTTTCTCTTATCCTTTCTTTCATTCATAAAAGACTTATGCTGTCCGATACTCGAAAAGAATGAAAAAGAATAATATTAAAAACGATAAGAACGTAGGAATTCGGAGAATCGTAATTACCGAGAGAGAAAGAAAAATAAAATGAGAGAGAGAGAGAGAGAGAGAGAGAGAGAGAGAGAGAGACATGTGACTTCAAACGAATTTTCTCATCCAAAAAAGAAAAAAATATTCTTAATGATTAAACAAGCCAATGGTATTAAAAGCGTGTCGTCGAGAGTCTCTATTTGCTACGTCGAATTTACCGTTCGTATTAAACGTAGGGTTAACTTTGAGAGGATGTGTGTGTGTGTATATGTGTGCGCTCTTTCTCTCTCTCTCTCTCTCTCTCTCTCTCTCTCTCGCACGCGCATCTGGCTTTCAACGAAGACTCCGAGCGTCAGACGTTTGTACTATGGCAATTAATTAAGCGTGTGTCTTTGCCGGCACGATTCGAGTAATTTATTCGAGCGTGCACGATACATACATACACATACAACGTCCGTATATAAACGGGCACACGCATATATACGACGTAAAGAAAGAAAGTTGTGATAGAAACAGAAGCAGAAAGAGAGAGAGAGAGAGAGAGAGAGAGAGAGAGAGAGAGAGAGAGAGAGAGAGAGAAAGAGAGAGAGAGATGTAGACATATAGAGTCGCGTTTCGAGGTCTCACTCGCTCGCGAAGTCCGACCCTTTTCAACCCTCCTCCCCCTTCTCTCTAAGCCAGCCTCCCTCTCTCTTTCCTACCCTACTACACCCCTCAGTCTCTCTCTCTCTTTCTCTCTCTCTCTCTCTCTCTCTCTCTCTCTCTCTCTCTCTCTCTCTACTACTGCTTTACAGCAGTTTAACCACCTGTTACGCCGAGACACGCGCCGAACTTCCGCGCTTTTCTTTTTCGCGAAACACGCGAGTTTCTGCCACCCTCGATGCGGTCTGCCACCTCTCTCTCTCTCTCTCTCTCTCTCTCTCTTTCTCTTTCTCTTTCTCTTTCTCTTTCTCTTTCTTTGAGATATTTTCTCGCGTCTCGAGCCTCCTTCCTTTTTTTCTTCTCTTCCTTCGTTCAACGAAACAAGAAAGAGTAAAATCGTATGAGTTAGACGGCCAACTTTTCTTTTTCTAATTTATATTTTTTCTTATTATAATGATTAAATAAAAAAAAAAAAAAAAAAAAAAAAAAAAAAAAAAAAAAAAAAAAAAAAAAAAAAGAAGAAGAATTTGCTTCGTCGTTCGATTATCATCGTTCGATTATAAACGTTAATTTCACGTTGCTTTGTATATTACAAAATTGTAACTTCTTATATTAAAATTATGAGTTTGATATTTACACATACAAAAAGACACACATACATATACATATATCACCATTTTGATGTAATTCTTTTTCTAATGGAACTTATCGATGTTTAATTATGAAAGTTATTGTAGAATCGTAACTAAATGGAATGAAAAAAATAAATTTAACTTAACCTAACTGATAATATTTCGATAATATCATGGACATTACTAATTCGTACGATTCGACGAATGAAAATCCTGCGGAACCGAAAACTGACGTTATGATTGTCGCTGAAGGTGGATTGCCAGAGAATCCGGATATTGTCGCGAACTCCGCATTGAAATCATCAGAAGGTTCTATCAGCTATAATGATGTAATATTAAAGGCAAGAACGATAAGCGAGGACGACGAAAATATTATCTCTCTCTCTCTCTCTCTTTCTCTCTCTCTCTCTTCCTCTCTCTCGATATAATGTACATACATACAGAATGCTAAAATAAACAAATAACGAGTGACATTATCATATTACTACGAACACGTTGGCTTCGTGTTTCTTTCGTTCGTACCTTCGTAGATATAATCACCCATTGCGTAATATTTACGAGACAAGAGAGACCAGAGGAAATAAATAACAACGTATATTGTATCTAAGCGTAAATTTTTTCAGAGGATGAATCGTCCACGGAAGAAACGCAAAACTCGGACGTCCTGACGCACAAGGAAGAAGAAAAACACGAAGTACATTTTGCAATAAAACACACGACTATCACTTATGAAGCAGAAGAAGGTACATAATATATCGATATTTTATAAATTACAATATTATAAAGCTGATATTTAACTGGATATTGTATTACACGAATGTAAAAATAATTTTTCATAAGAATCAGAATCCTTCATATCCATACTACTCGAGGAATACTTTAACTCAAGTTTTTTCATCTACTTACCTCGAATATTGTTGTCGGAAAAGTTAATCATAGAACATCAAGACAAATTCACTCAGACCTTTTTCAAAGCCATGACAAAATTATCTAATCGCCGTTTCGTCGAAATAATAAACATGCAAGTCGATCACGGGGATCCTCGTTTGATATTCTATTGTCCATCGTATGAATTATTAACGAGTTTTCGTGAAAACGAAGAAAACATTGATAATTAGTTCGAGCTAATTCGAATAAAAAATTCAAATTAAATCGTGAAAAATCAATTGCAACTTATATTAATATTATACGTTCAATCTATATAATTTGAAATAAAAATTTATATATGTATATAAATGTATACTCGTTTCCATCCCCCTCCACCCTCCCTCCCTTCCTATCCTACACACACACACACACACGCGCGCGCATACATCGTATACTTACACGTATGTATATAATATAATAAATATATTGCATAAAAATCTGCACGTAAACTTGATAAACAGCACAATGGTGCTATCTGGAGGATTAAATCCAAACTACTCGGCAATGCAACTACAACGGATGATATTTCACAGATCTTCATTTTATTATAATACTCAACCTAATATGTGCATGCATTAATCTAGAATATAATATTACATTAATTAATCTAGAATATATTATTATATTAATTTATGATAAAAATATGTTATTCTGTTGTCAGTAGGAACGTACCTCTGATTACGTAGACATCTATGTTAGAAACAAATACGCCATTTTCTTGTACTATCTCTCTCTCTCTTTCTCTCTCTCTCTCTCTCTCTCGTTCTCTCTTGTTCTCTCTCTCTTTCTCTTTCTCTCTCTCCCTCTTTCTCTCTCTCTCTCTCTTTCTCTATCTCTATTTCTTTATCGTGTGAATCTATTCTTTATTGATTTCAAACAACAAATTAAATGATACAGCATATGTGAATGAAACGATTAACTTCATTTTTCATTAATTTAATAACCCATGTTAGCAATAAGCAATCGAAGAGCTTATTTTTGTATTTTTATCATTTCCTCTTTTTAATACGAGTGTTACTAAATTAATGATACTTTTGCAAGAACAGGAAACAGGCCATCTTTTTTCTTCTTTGCTAATGAATATATGTATATATATATATACACACATACACACACATATATATATATATACATATACATATGCGTATGTATATACATATATATATATATAAATATTTATAATTTGATTCTTTTTTTTTACACGTATGGGTATCGGATTTATTAAATATTAATTAATACGATATATCATAATACAATATGGTTGTGCATTGCAGTTTCATAGAAAACGGTATTCTTCGTAGCTTAAATAACGAGTCGCGTAGTTTCTCCTTGATATATGTATACGATCCGATGTGATGCTGGAACGTTTAATCATTGGATTCTATCGGACCCGATCATCCCCAGTCACTAGAACGGAGTTTCAGAAATCACTGCCAATCCTTTCTTACCGTCTTCTTCGGATTCTCCTTGAAACTACGAGCGGCTGCGCACGAATACGTGCTTAGGTGAATACGCTTTACGGTTTAGCAATGGCAGTGAATACTATCGGCTCTCGCTCTAGTAATTCGAAATATCAGATACTCTCTTTCTCACTCTCTCTTTCTCTCTCTTTCTTTCTCTCTCTCTCTCTCTCTCTCTCTCTCAAATACATACATACAGACAAACAGATGCACGAACATTCATACTATATATCTTCCACGCGCATACATTCTCTATTTTTGTTGATTTCTCCTTTGATCTCTCCTATCTTTCCTCGTGTTCCTTCTTACTTGATTCTCAGTCTCTCGCGCACAGTTCATAGCTTCTTATACCAAAAGAGATAATGTTCTCCCTCGCTGACTTGTAGATCATCGACACCTGAAAAAGAAAAATGATTCCATCAGTACAAGTTCTATCGGTAATATATATATATAAGAAATGATAAACAAAAGGGTAGCTTCAATTTGTCCATATCCATTACATAATAATGATCCAACTATAAAATCGATCAAGTATCACCTCCAGGAGCAACCAATTGATTTCCAGGTGGTGAGGAAGGATCCGGTGGTGTTGGCAATCGATAGAGTAGCCAATAATGATAAGACATTGGTTCTTCTTTATAACCAGCCAATGTGTGGACATAATGTCCATTTGGCCATTCCGATGCGGCGAATTGAAAGTGTGGTGACATCTCCGCTGCTAAAAGCATTACGCCATAGAAGGTTTCATTTTTCGGCGCGGAAACCGTTAAATTGTACGTTTCGTTGACGTTACTTCCGACCCAAAGTGTATATGAAACGTTCACCATGATCGGTATCGAAGTACCGGTGATGATGGTATCCGTATTACTTGTGTTGTTACTTCCGGTTGTAGTTGCTGCTAACGTCTCACTATGATTCTCCAAGGTCGCTACATCTGCAACTCATAGTTTTAACGGGACATATCTTAGTTGCTCGTCAAAGATGATGTTTATATTTTAAGATTTTCAATGTTATAATTTAATTAATTATTAAGACATTTGTTAATTTTAAGATTAAGTCACGTTGACTGAATGAATAGCAAAGGAAAAATTTACTGTTGCTCGTAGTAAGTCTAGGTGGTGAACTATCCGTCAGACCTTGTCCACAATCGAGAGCACGAATACTAGCAAGACCACGTGGTGAAACGCCAAGTAGAGCCTCGGCCGTAGCACGAATATCCCCACCGAATGAACCATCCGGACGTTGTTGATTCATCAACCATGTTAAGGCCGCTGATCTGTTCCAATTGTCTCCAGGTTCGTTTTCGACTTCTTCTAAAGCTTGCATGACCAATGCTGTCGTGTGAAGATCACCGAAGCTACCGTCTAATCTTTGCTGTTGAGCCAAACCAATCGAAGGTTTTCGAACGAAATGATGCAAATTTCTGTGTCTATGATCTTGAACGATACACCTCAGTGCCAATATCACCATTGCCACGGTATCTAAAAGCAAATATATATAATCATCAATTTTTAAATATTCATTTAATATATTCCATTAGAAATCATAAATTCAATGTTCATTAACTAACCAACGTTATGATCTTGTGCAGCATTGGCAATGTCCAATAAACGACGTATTTGTCGTTTACGTACGTGAGCTTGAGCACTGCACGCAGCTAAAGTAGTAAGTGCGAATTCGTAATCGGTTGGTGGCTCGTGATGTTGCAAAGTTCCGATCAAATCGTGTCCATGGAATTGTCTTGGATCCATGCACATAGCGTTCAAGGCCAAAGTATAACGAGCCAGACGAACCGGAGAAAATCCAACTTCTCTATGTCTGAAGAAGATCGGAACGTAATAGAAACGACATCAGAACTATATATGAATATTTCTGACATAACAAAAAAAGAAAAATGGAAAAAAGGATCATGGTAACTCTTTTACAATGTCTACCTCCAAAGTAAGAGAACTATCTCCAATTCCATCTCCTTTGAACTGAGTTGTAACTCTAACGGTGCAGGTGGTGCCACGTTATCATTACGTGATAGATTACCCAAACGAAGGACCAAAATCACTCTGTGAGTATCGTTACCCCATCCAGCATCCTTGTCTCGCTGACTCCATAGCCAAGAAGTAGCGCGTTCTAAAATTATCTCTGATTCCGCATCCGTAGATGTTTCCGTATCCGATGGAATAAGTTCCGTATTACTTCCTGAAGAAGAAAAAATGATCTTTGTGATGACGATAAATCATAAAGACATCATTATGAGATTTACCGTGACAAGGAACGAAGATGCACAACCAGGCAAGGAAAAGAATCACAGCTGCCATGCTAGCTCTACCCCACATTATCCTTTGACGATGGTTACTTCTAGTTTATCGATATTGCCTGTGTAATAAATTTTAAATTAACTTTTTAGATTTACCAAATGGTTCAAAGGTAAACGTATTTTATCTAAGTAATCGAACGATCGGTCCAGTTGATCTAATCTAATCTAATCTAATCTGATCGGATTAGATCAAATGATCGAAAATAATACATCGTTCTACTAGAAAACATTTTAATAAAGCCGTATCATAGATATACACGTGCAAGAGAGAGAGAGAAGAGAGAAAGATAGAGGATACACGTCCACGATGGTTCCAAAGTTCGTTCGCTTAAGCCTACTCTAAACGATGTTTGAGCTTTGGTACATAAACTCCGTATATATACACGTAACAACGATAAATCGCGTCTGCCGGATAGCACAGCAAGTGGAACACGAGACACGTCGAGCGTCGGTTCGTCCATGGAACATGGGACCGAGCACGATATTGCGTAGGATCGATATCATGGCGCCTGTCGCCCTCCGAGTCAACGTGCACACACATATACACACACACACTTACACACAGATTCACATATATACATTTACTCGGTCGCACACAACGATACACACAGCAATGCGCGCTCAGAAATACACAGCTTGGTAACCGTGGCCAGGTATATATGCTTTTCCTCTCTCTCTCTCTCTCTCTCTTTCTCTCGCTCTCGCTCTCGCTCTCCTTCTTTCTCTTCTCTCTTGCCTACTCTATCTACCCTATCTACCCTTATCCTTCTCCCTCTCTCTCTCTCTCTCTCTCTCTCTCTCTCTCTATCTCTCTTTCTCTTTCGCTACGCTTTATTGTCTGTACCTAGCATACCTTGCATCCTCCATTGTGCTCACGAGATCGCACGCTACCATTCTACGCTATCGAACTTCACAGTTAGCTATGCTGCATCGGTGTTAGTCAGGGTATTAACCGAATATGTCTTTTTCCCTTTCGTGCTTATAACTCTACACGCTAGAATATAGGATGATATCAAGCCCTTCTTCTTCTCTTGCTTCTTTTTTTCCTTCCCATTTTTTTTTCTTTTATGTTTTCTTTTTTTCTTTTTTTTTTTTTTTTTTTCTTTAATTTTTTTTCTACGTCTACTTCCCCCGGTTGCTTCAATGAATACAGCCATGAAAAGAAAAAAAGAGAAGGAAAAAAAAAGGGGGGAAAGCAAACGCACGAGTGACTTTTCGCAGCAACCCGCGATAAGTTAATGATCAGTGCTACTAACCGTGAACTCTTTAAGGGACTTTCAATAGCTCTCGCTTTACCCTTAACTGACAGAACGGAGAAAGTCCTTTTTTTCGGTCGTTCACCCTTCTATTATATAGTATACATATATACATATATGTATGTATATGTGTATATGTATATATATATATATATATATATTCTTTTAACTACGTAGATATTATTAAAATTCGAAGAATTCCATCTCGTGAATTTTTAATCGGACAACGTGCTTCTTTCCCCCTTTGTACATAATAAAATAGGAAGACATAGAAAAAGTGGAATAGCAATAGCTAGATCGTTCGATAATACAAAGTTTTCTACATATTCTATGTACCTTGTAGAAGGTTTTTTTAAAACTTATATACGGAAATATATCGGTATTCTTTCTATAAGCGTTTGAACGATGAGAATTTCAAAGAATAATTAATTATTCTTATTTCCCTTTTAGTTATGTTTTACCTTGTGCTATAAATCCGAATAAAGATTTTTTCTTCTTTTTTCTTTTTTTTTTTCTTTTTTTTTCCATAATCAATTTTAAGATATATATATATATATATATTGTTCAATTTGAAATAAAATAAATTCTATATAATGATTTTATATCATTAAAGCCGTAGAGATACGAAACCATCGAGATAACAAGCGCGCGATGCCCGCTAGTAGTAACGATCGAATTTTGTCAGACCCTTGGAGCACTCACAAGTGTTAAGTAGTCAAGTTTGAGACGAGTAAGACCCTTCGTAAAAGATAACAGGAGAGTAATTTCTCTAACGAAATTAATCTACAGTCACTCTACTCTTTTATAATTATTTCAGTAGACGTCATCGATCGAATCAAACGACCAAGTTTTTTCTTTTTCTTCTTTTCTTTTTTTCTTTTTTTTTTTTTTCTTTTTTTTCCAGCACTATTCGTTGTGAAATAAAAGAAATTAATTTTTATATCGTACTTTTTCTTTGTAAATAATATATTATTTTATTAATGTTTTACCACATGCGATATTCCGAGAATGAATTATTAACTTCTCTCTTTTATTGCCTTGCGTTTACTTAATATATTTTCTTTTGAAAGTTTAATTAACAATAATCAAAAAAAAAAATCACTATAATAAAAATGATATGAACGTAAACGAATTTCCACGTTATCGTAATCAATTTCATGACCGCTCTCGTTTTAGCAATTGTGCTTGAAAAAAAAAAAAAGAACTGATCAAATTTTAACAAACGGCGCGTGATTCAAAATAAATCGATATTCGCGTTACCTTGAACTTCTATAATAGATTATTTCGCTTGTTAAACTCTAAAAAGATCCTCCAAAAGATATTCGACTAGGATATATATAAAAAAAAAATCTCCAGATTTTTACTCTCGCATCGAGATTTAAACGATATCATATACCTTATACATGTCTCACTGAAAAATGTAAAACTTATGCAGTACGGTCAAGTTTAATCGATAGAAGGAAGAAACGATTGATTTCTTATAGAAAATGACGAAATTAAAAGATCGAAAAAAAAAACGATTAAAAAAGAAAAAGAAAAAGGGGAACAAAAAAAGGAAGAAGAAAAAAAGAAAAAATAAAGACGAATTAATTATACAAAATCCAAATCAATATAATATATTGATAATAATATTATTTAACTTAAGATTTATTAAAACTTTCAATAATATCGATCGAAACAAAATAAATAAGTAAATAGATAAATGAATCAAGAAAAGAAAGGGGGGAAAAAAAGAAGAGAATATAATCGATTAATCATACTAAACTATTTCATCGTATTTACACCCGTTCGTTCATGATTGTATATATACTCTTTGCTTACCGTTCGAGAAATACCGTAGCTGATGACCCCCTCAACTTCTTTTGCACGATGTAGTACGATCTCTTCTCTCGATCGTATCGTATCGTATCGAGAGAGAGAAAAAGAGAGATAGAAAGTGAGAAAGAGAGAAAAAGAGAGAGAGAGAGAGAAAGAAAAAAAAGGATAGAAAATTAATCGTTTGATCAGTATGGCGGCTTTGTAAAAATCAACCGAATCGTTCCAACGGCAATATCGACGAGGACGACGACGAGGAGAACGCGACGACTACGGCTACCACCAGCACGATGCGCCTGTCTCGTGAATGCGCAATGCAGAGCAAAGCCAGGAACGAAGAGCTGCGCGCCGTGAGGGGCCTCGAAGAACGGCTCTTTAACTACCACCACCATCAGCACCACTGCCGCCGCCACCACCACTACCACCACCCACTCTATTACTACCACCATCATCATCACCACTACTACCATCATATTCCCTCGCCCTTTCCCTCCCTCTTATCCCCTTCCTATCTCTTTCTCTTTCACTATACTTCGATTCTCAAGGTACACATACACTTGCATTCATGTATATAGGTATACGTATATGTACGTGTACAGAATTATACACTCGCACGTGCGAACGCAATACTTACCCTCTCCTTCACTCCTACCCCTTCATCCGCCTTTCGGCAACACGCTCTTTCGCGCAGCGACACCCCCCCGATGAGAGAATGAGAGAGAGAGAAAGAGAGAGAGAGAGAGAAAGCAGTCAATCCTCTACAGCCGGACTATCGTGTCTATATGTATATATATATATATATATATATATGTGTATGTACATGTAATATGTATATCTAGTACCTATATACAGGGTGAGAGCTATGTAACGTTAACAATTGAAAGTTTCTTTGCGTTGAAAATTTACAGTATTGGTAGACTTTGAAAGTTTCTTTCTTTAGTTTGTATATAATATATACATGCATATCTAATAATATATACATACATATATACATACATATACATATATATATATATATATATATATATATATGGTGTGGAATTTGTAACATCCACTAATTGAAAATATTTTATTTCAAAATACCCATCGTTAATTGGAATTTTTTTGATTGAACTCTTTATTTTTAAGTGCTATCTTTTTTTTGAGATATTATAGAATAAGATAAAGGATAGTTAATTCGATTGTTTTTTACGAAGAAAAAATTTTATATATTTTTAAAGAACTAAAATTAGTAATATTACATAGTTCACCCTGTATATACATATTCATTTCTATCTATTTTTTCAGCCATCTTCGTCACGCTCGTTCTCTTTCTTTCTTTCTCTTGACTATCCCTTTCTACTTCACCCCCTTCGGTCCTCGAAACTCCGGCCTCTCTACTCAACCGACCTATCCTCCCCCAACGAGCTTTCTCTTTTTTCTGTCTCTTTCTCTCCCTCTCTCTCTTTCTCTTTCTCTCTCTCTCTTTCTCTTTTTCTCTTTTCGATTTTCTTTTTTCTTTTTTCTTTTTTCTTTTTTCTTCTTTTTTTTTTTTTTTTATTGTACTCCACGGATTTTCCCTGCCACCGAGTCTACCGAGGGTGCGTCGCTTCTTTTTTTGTTTTCCCGACTTTAACCCACCCTCTCTGTCTAGCAACACGCCACCTCACCAGCCACCCTCCTTCGTCTCTTTTTCTGAATCAGCCAGCTTAGAATCTCACAGTGAATCAGCGTGAGACTAAACTTCCCTTCACCTCTCTCCACCCTTCCGTCCTTCCTTCCTTCCTTCCTTCCTTCCTTCCTTCCTTCCTTTCTTTCTCTTTTTTTTTTTGCTCTTGTTTCCTTGCTAGTATCTCTCAAATCGACGACAAACCACATTTTGCTATCGACTCGTTCTAAAACTTCACGTCGACAGACATTTTAAAAAGAAAATTTTCATTATTTGGATGAATTAATACCATTAAAAAAATGTGTTAACTTCATTCGCACTAATCGCTATAGACAGAGTAACATTGTCATAAGTTAAGGTACAAATTCGGTACATAAAAATGTTTGATAATTTCCTTCGATACATTAATAAAAGTACATTAATGATTATCAAAGATCGTAGTTAAGTTCATATATTGATAATAATAAATTGTATTCATAAAATCATTATCAATAAAGTTATATACTCTATATTAATATATTCTATTATTGATAATATTTCTAACGCTATATAATAATTCTAATGTATTATCAACAATTGAATACGGAAAATTAAGTTCAAATATTATTGTACGCCATATATATAACGTTTCTTTTGGAATGAAACTTAACGCCAAAAGGACGTATCAAATCGATACATCGCATCATTTATATGGACAAGTTTATGACGAAAAACATGGTTTCCGTATAAAAAAAAAAAAAAGAAAGAAACAAAGTACAGAGAAACTCGTTGAAATTCTTTAATTAATGGCTCGAAAAAATGTTAAAGAAGAGAATCTTGAGACAGGGGAAGAAGCCAATGAGGAAGAAAAGTTACTATTTGCCGATTTCTCTGATATAACCCTATAAAGTCTTAGTTTAGATTTAATATTATTCAACTAATCGTTCTTTTTAGTAATACAAATAAACAATTTTGGATAAACACCAGTAACTTCTTTCGCTTCTATTGGCGCATGATCTTCGCATTAATTTGGTTTATGTTTCTTGGAATTATTGTATACATCTACGATTGCCCAGTACGTATGATTTTTAACTCATTGAAAATCTTATATAATTCTTCCATATAAATAAAAGAAGAAAACATTGTTTATTTAATCGGATGATACTGAAAATACTTCTTTTTACATTGTTTGTTTTATCCTTTTAAAAGCAGTCCAGATGCGCGTTCGTGATACTATTAATGGCGGGATATTGGATGACCGAGGCTATTCCGGTACCCATTACTTCTATGATACCGGTCGCTCTCCTTCCAATGTTTGGAATAATGAGTACAATTGAAACTGTGACTTGCTACATGAACGATGCCATAATGGTTTTCATCGGTGGCTTGATCCTTGCTTTCGCAACGGAACATTGTAACCTACATATGAGAATTGCTCTTATAGTCATGAAAATGGTTGGTTGTAGCCACACGAAGCTTCTAGGTGGTCTTTGTACCGTAACCACTTTTATATCTATGTGGATCGCGAATGCTGCTACCACGGCGATGATGGTGCCTATTGTCTTTGCTGTTCTCTACGAATTGGAAAGGGTTTCTTTTTTAATTATATTATTTTCAATGTGGTATCATCGAAGTAACTCGAAATTATTATTATTATTACGAAATAACGAAGTTATTCGAAGGTGCCGCAAATCAAAGTATTTTTATATTTCTCTTTAACATATTTTTATTAATTATTATTTTCTGTCGTTACTTTTGGAACAGCAAGGACTAGGAAAAGTATTCAACGTTATTATAGATCCAAATGAACCTGACGCTGATCCGTACGTAAAAACCAGAATGAATTTCTATTCATCCTACCTCTCCCTTTCTCTCTTTTTCTCTCTCTCTCTCTCTCTCTCTCTCTTTCATAGAATCTTAAGAACAAACGTTTACTTGGAGTATTCAACTAAATAAAATCCTTTTTCAGGGAATTGAAACCAACGAACGTGACGAAAGCTTATTTCTTCGCGGCAGCATACGCTTCTACATTCGGAGGCACTGGAACTTTAGTCGGTACACCAACGAATCTTGTCTTCAAAGGCATCTACGAAAACACCTATCCTGAAGCAGAACCAATCACTTTTGGACTTTGGACCGCAGCTTGCTTTCCTCAAATGGCCATTAACTCCTTCATTTTGTGGATACATCTTCGAATAGTTTATCTCGGTTTTCTAAGACCAAAGAGCAAAGATGCCAAAGCTGCGATAATTGGTCCAGAAGGAGAAAAAATAGCTAATCAAGTGAGCTTTTTTTTTAATTTCGAATAAAATCGAATCATTTTCCATCGAGATAGAAAGAGATCATTTACAAATTGGATTTTTTTTTTTTTTATAATCTTTGTGATTGTTTCACGAAGTATGAACAGTAGTATAGTTGAAAGATAAGATAATAAATAACGTGGTATTCTTAGGTGATAAAAGAGAAGCTGAAAGAAATAGGTTTTATGTCGTTCCACGAGATCGCTGTATCGATACTCTTTTTAACGTGTATATTTCTCTGGATATTCAGAGCTCCTGGATTTGTAACAGGCTGGGCAAAACTTATTTCGGACGTGTAAGAAATTTCTTTTTCTTAATGAATCGTAAATCTTTATATTCCTTTAAAATTGTTTTGATCTAATAGGGAGATTAAGGATTCGACAGCTACTATTTTTATCTGCTTGCTGATGCTTTATATTCCTAGGGATCCCGATTTTATATACTTTTGGAGTCGAAATTGTAAGCTAATACATATATTATATCAATTATATCACATACCATGTTTTAAGATACAGTAAAATAGTTTTGTTTAAATAGCTAGAAAGAAACCATCGGGTCCCTCCGAAGGTTTAATAACTTGGAATATGATTCAACGAAAGATGCCGTGGAGATTGATTTTTCTTCTCGGTGGTGGATTTGCTATCTCCAAAGCCAGCAATAAATCCTGTCTGGCGATGGATATAGGTCGATTGTTGTTACCGTTACAAAATTTACACCCTATATTGCTATTGGCAATCATTTTGTTATTCGTTGGTACTCTAACGGAAGTAACGTCAAATGTAGGCACTGGAAATATCGTTATACCGATAATAGCACACATGGTGAATTTCACTTTAGCTATAAGATAATACTTGGAAAAATCAATTATAACGATAGCGTAACAATACTAAAATGATAATATATGATGTTATTGTTGCAGTCTTCTGCGATGAAGGTACATCCTCTTTATCTGATGGTGCCAGTGACAATAATGTGCTCCTATGCATTTCGATTTCCAGTCAGCACTCCACCAAACGCAATTATATCGATCGCGGCTCACATACGAACGCCAATGTTAATCACCGGCGGCTGTTTACCTGCAATGTATAGCTTACTCATACAAGTACTTATTTTTCCATTTTGGGGAACATTCGTTTTCGGCATCGACAAATTCCCGGAATGGGCAGAAAAAACAATAGTTTCAAGTTCCACGGGACACTGCAATTAAATTTCATTCATCTTGTATTTAGAATCCTTTAGAAGTATTGCTTCATTTAAAATTTTATCACGATTATTAAAGATTATAATATAAGATCGAATATAATAAAAATCTTTCTTAAAATTTGTATCGTTGAATATATAATTCATATATATATAAATATACCGATTACAAAGATTTCTTTTTTTGTTCTTTCTTTCCCTTTATTTTTCTTTTTCTTCTTCTTCTTATTTAACTGAAGGATGAAAGTCAAACTTCGTAACGGCAAAGATGGTAGATATAAGCTGGCTGAAGTACCAGAGGTATTTCGGACAATGAAAAGAGCGCAATCAGTAACGCCGCAGGCACTGCTCCCTGTCTTGCTTGAAGAGACGTCATTAAGGTCGAACCGAATTCTTCCATCGTCGTCTTCTCTCCGTCGAATAGAAAGAAACGCGACCTTATCTGAGCCCTTTTCAAGATTCTAGGCCGACTATATTTAGATATTTGAACTTATAATGCATAGCACGTATGCGAACTGACTAATGAAAATTCCTTCGGGTAAATTCATTAAGGTTGTTCATCATCACTGGTTTTATAATGGTTTATGCCGGCAATGAATCCAGGAGTACTTTTTGACCGATTTTGACGTACAAGGTATCATTTTAAAGATGATTTATTTTAAATGAAAAAATAGCTTTTTCGGATTTCTTCGATAAAGCTTCATTTTTATTGAAAACGATCTTCTTAAAAAATGTTGTTTTTTTTTCGAAGAGTTAATAATTGAATATTTATATATTATACATAGTTTTAATGAAAACCACGCATAAGTATGTTTCTCAGGGCCGGGACAGGTCAGACAGTGCCGGGTCAAACAGAGATAGAGCCAGTTGAATGGGTCAAACGAGATCGATATAAATTGGAAGACTGAAAAGTGAATCTACTAAAACTAAACTTACATTAAACCGATAGTTAGGGAATATAATCTACGATAGATACATGATGTGAACAGTATTTTATTATTGTACTTGTAATTCATATTTTTTCCATATATGTCGCTGAAGTTATACATGCTCCTAACAAAAAATGGTGAATGGTGAATTGATTCAAAGAATAAGAAAAAAATATAAAAAAATGAACAACAATAGATACGAAAATATATATATATATATATATATATATATATATATATATATATATATATATATAAGCCATTCCAATATGAAATTAGCTGTATAAATGCATAAAAATAAAATATACAAAAATTTGTTACATTAAAGATAGGAAAGTTATTTATCGGTCCCTTAAAGATTTGGTTTCTCGTATTGAAACAAACCTTATAAAAAAACATGGCTGAGGAAGAAGATAGAGAGTACGTAAAAAAGAAATAGATCGAACTAAGGATAATAAGATCTTTTATGAAAAATAAAAATCTTTAACCGTCTCTTATCGATATAGAGTCTTGGAAAGGGAGGAAAGCGGTAGAAAGACACTCGACTTCTTAAAAACCTATTGGAAAATAATTTACGCCATTCTCTGGCCTCTATGTCTATTACCACTTTTAATAATTTACGATTCTTCGGTATTCTGTTAATACGAACACATGACGTATATGAAAATTCATATAAAAAAATCTCTATTTATATATTATTTCACTCATATAGGAAGTTAGATGTGCCTTCGTCATATTGATAATGGCTGGATACTGGATAACAGAAATATTTCCCATGGCAGTCACTTCATTATTACCTATTGTCCTCTTCCCCTGTCTTGGTGTACTTAGCACAGACGAAGCATGTTCTTGTTATATGAATGATACGATAATGGTCTTCATAGGTGGTTTGATACTTGCCGTAGCCATCGAACATTGCAACTTGCATCTTAGGATTGCCCTTGGAGTTATGAAAATGGTCGGTTGTAGTCATAGTCGACTACTTGGTGGTCTTTGCGTAGTCACCACTTTCATATCCATGTGGGTTTCAAACACAGCTGCAACGGCTATGATGTTACCAATTATTTTCGCTATCCTTCAGGAATTAGAGGAGGTCTGTGACATCTTGATTTTACCATTGGTATATATATATATATATATATATATATATATATATATATATAATATATATATATATACATATATATATATATACATATATATATATATATATATATGTATTGGTGAATTTATTATCGTTGTTACTACTCTTCAGGCTGGATTTGGTAAAATGTTCATAAAGGTGACTGACGTAAAAAGTCCTCAAGAACAGTAAGGAATATCCTCACTTAACTTTCCAAAAATTTGTTTCCTTTTACAAATATATATTTTTCCTTACACAGAATATTAAAACCCTCTAAGGTCACTATGAGCTATCTTTTAATTGTCGCATATTCTTCTACTTTTGGTGGAACGGGAACTCTCGTTGGTACCGGAACGAATCTTACATTCAAAGGAATTTATGAGAGTACCTTCCCTTTTGCCGAAGGAATTAATTTCACCGATTGGATGATAGCTTCGTTTCCACAAATGATCGTCAATTCTTTTCTCACTTGGCTATATGTACGAATAGCTTTTTTGGGATATTTAAGACCAAAGAGTAAGGATGCCTTGGCAGCTACGATAGGCACAGAAGGCGAAAAAATTGCGAACAATGTAAATCCAGTAACATTAATCAGATATTAACGATGATATTAACTTATTTTCATAAGACATAATATTCGTAGGTCGTAAAAGCGCGATATTCAGCTCTAGGTCCCATCTCATTTCACGAAATCGGCGTTACTTTACTATTTTTAATATGTATTTTCTTATGGATATTTAGAAAACCTGGTTTCGTCTTTGGATGGTCCGAACTTATAACAGATATGTATGTATTTAAACAATATCCGATCATTTATGCTTGACTATTATTCGATTATCTTCACAGAGAGATAAAGGATTCGACACCAGTTATACTTGTTTCAATTCTTATGTTCTTCATACCAAAAAATCCTTCTTTCATTTATTCTTGGAGCAAAAATCGTAAGCACTATTCAAATTATTTAAAAAAAAGAAATACATATATATATTTATACGTAATATAATCAATTGTGTATCACGTAGCTGAAAAAAGACCGATCAAATCATCGGAAGGCTTGATAACTTGGAAAGTCATTGAAACTAAAATGCCATGGAGCTTAATGTTTTTACTAGGTAGTGGTTTTGCAATTTCGAAAGGAAGTGTTCATTCTTCCCTAGCTAAAGCAATCGGTCAAACTCTCACACCACTTAAATCTTTACCACCTATTATTATAATGACATTCATCTGTTTCTTCGTGGGTATAATAACAGAATTTACATCGAACGTGGGCATTGCCAATATAACATTGCCAGTTATTGCGCAAATGGTATGATATTAACTTAAATTTCATTCCTTATCTCTGTATTATATTAATTTTTATATTGACAGAGTATAGCCATGGAATTACACCCTATGTATTTAATGATACCAGCTACGTTAATGTGCTCATTTTCATTCCGACTACCAGTTGGTACCCCACCAAATGCTCTCGTAACAGTCGCAGGTCATATTCCAACTAAATGGTTGATGATGGCAGGATGTCTACCCTCTCTTTACAGTTTATTAGTACAAATACTTTTATTCTCAACATGGGGTATTTTTATTTACGATATTGCCGAATTTCCTGATTGGGCTTCAGATGTTACTATAAAAGATTAATTAAATTAATTATTTTGCGTATTAATATACGTAATACACACGCGCGGGATTATGTTCATGTAAAATAGTTTTCAATGAACATTAATAAATATAACGCAATAATTTGTTTAAAATTATATTTATATTACAATGATACATGATTTTTCTAAGTACTTTTATACAATGCATGTTTATCTTTAAATTGAGTGAAATTTAAATCACTTAATGTAAGTGTAGAGATTTACAAAGAAGTTTTAAGGAATTAGATACTGTGTTAAAAATGTATATGTATCATACATACGTGTATATATACATATATTGATATATATATATATATATATATATATATATATATACATATACATATATATATATATATATACATATACATATATATATATATATATATACATATACATATATATATATATATATATATATATATCAAATAACATTTAAAGGATCAATATACATAAAAATACCACAATTTTGATTAAAATTATGCATTGTGCATTATTATCTTATCCTATTCTCTCTCTCTCTCTCTCTCTCTCTCTCTCTCTCTCTCTCTCTCTCTCTCTCTCTCTCTCTCTCTCTCTCTCTCTCTCTCACACACACACACACACACACACATTTTTGAAGTATTTTAAAATTAATTCATATATTATGCTTATTTCAATCAATAACTCTGTTTCGAGTAAAAAAGAAAAATGTAGAAATTAGACATGCTTAACTCAAAAAAAATACAAAAATAAACTTGATATAGGAAATGTGTAAGAGCTTCCTCACATAGCTATTTCCATCCTGATCTATCAAATATAATTAAATTATATCCTCACAGAGGATGATAAAAAGTACCTTTCATCAGGTAAGAAATGGTTTTAAATTAGCAAATATAAAATTTACTTTAAGAACTATTTTTGATCAACTTTCATATCCATATTGTACTCATATACAATATACAGTTCTCCTATTCAAAATCTTATATGTGAAAAAAAATAAACATTTCCTCTCATTTGTCCCATATCTTGGTACTTATATCAGTTTCAGTACTCTATTTGTATAAAAGATAATGTTAAGTTGGTTGAGTTTTTAAACCTGGTGAATTAGGTTCACTTTTCTTTGAAGTTGAATTAATTTCTTGTTGTTCCAATCTACGATGGCGCAACATAGTCGACAAAACACCATTAAAACTAGCAGTTTTTTTCTTAGCACTACCTTTAGGAGTACTTTCTCCTACTCTACGAACTGGTAATCTGGGAGATGACATTTCATCCATAAAGTCAAAATCTGACTTTTCTTCTGGTCTAAAAAAGAATTCATAAATTTTACAACAGTTAAAAGCTAAAACAGTTAAAAGTTCATTAACAGAAAAGATTTTACATAAAATTGTATTTAATTTACTTATATTCTTGCGAGCCGTGTTCTTGCTGACGATTACAAGAAGGAATTGGAGAAGGACCTCTTCTACCAGGACATTTCCATTCAAGTTCTAGTACACGATTATTAGCTTCTAGTCCGTCAATTAAAGAGAGTATATCTTCCGACTTTAATGTCCATTCGCTCTATATAAAAAGAAAACAGATAATCACATTCAAATCATTGGTATGCTTTTAAAAATTTATAACACTCGATATATATCAAGCTTATCATTGGAAAACATGTAAATATCTTACTTTTGAATCAACTTCATACTTTTCTTCATCCGAACATTCAACAGACCACTCTTCTTCGTTTCTATCCATAATAATATACCAAAAGTTCTCACGATAATCTCGTGTTAATATTTTAAAAAACAATTACTAATATTGAGGTTATGTTTTCCATTCAAGTCGCTTATTCTTGATAATAATGAGTTTGACACAAAAGAACACTTCGCAACACTGTTACGAAGTAACAATTTATAAAAATTGGCAAAAAAAAATTGATATTTTCATACGTTGTATATAAAAAATGAATAACAATCTACAAGACACTAATATTTTTTTCATAGAAATTAATAAACCATCTATTCAAATAAATATTCTGGATCTATATAATTCATGCAATATTATTAAAAGCAAGTGTTTAATATCGAAAATAAATAAATATACACGAAGAAGTATTACTGCGAAGTATGAGGAATAATAAATATCAAAACAATGATCTATAGTTGATACATGCTTCGCGTATATTATCAAGGATCAACTAAACGGAAGTGGTGATAGTAGTGATTCGAAAAAAAATTTATTCGAGAGATGGCGCTGATCTTTAACGTTGTCGGTAAAAAAATCAACAAGTAATTAGTTTAAACGATCAAAAAAAAAAAAATCAAAATAAAATATCAATTTGTAATTAATGGCTTAATTTCTTAATTAAATAATACGTTATTCAAACGATACTAAAATTACACGATTTATGACTGGATTTGTTGTTTACATAAATTCTATCAGAAATTCTTAAAGTGTGGGTCAAGTTAAATATTAAAATATAAAAGTAATATACATGTTCATTAGAAGAATTTATTAAAAGTGAATCACAAAAAATAAGTTTTCGAAAGTGTCTCTCGACTCATCAAAGTTTGGAAAGCATTGAATTAAATTATTCATTAGTAATTCTAAACGATCGATCAAATATTATATACATATGTATGTATTTTGATTCATAATTTCTTATCCAGACAGAGGACAAATAAAGATTCATCGATGCGATCGATAATAATCAAGCAAAGCAGATAAGAACAATAACTAAACGACTTGGGAATCAACAAATCTACGATAAATTTAACGTTCTACGTAAACATAAAAAAAAAAAAAATGTGGAAAAAAGTAAAGTTCGAAATAAATCATTTTTACATGTATTATGTGGGGAGGGGGGAAAAAAAGGAAAAAATATTTCATTAAAAATAAAAAAACTAATGAGATATTCCGTATATATATTATATGCATGATATGCTCAGCAGCAATAATATATCAAGTCAAGCAAACCGTACAATTACAGAAGAGATATATATCAAGCTATTTCATCGAAAATTATATATGGATTGGTACGATCGAAGTTACGTTGTTTATTCAACCTAGGTGTGTTTTTTTTTTCGCAAGGTTCATCGTTGATTATCGGTAGAATTACTTTTTCTTCCGTACACTCGATGATGATGTAAAATATATAATATTACTATAAAAAAAAAAACAAAAAGAAAAAATAAAAAAGTATAAATATCCGTGAAATTTTTTTTATCGAATTATCGTTACCCATACGATTTGTTTCGATGAGATAAATTAAAAAAAAAAAAAACAAAAACAAAAACAAAAAACAAAACAAAACAAAAAGAAAAGAGAATTAAATAAAACTTGAGAAAAAGAAACGTCTATAGTTAAGAAAATATTCAGTGTGTTATTAACATACATATATATATATATATATATATATATAATAAATAAAACTTTGTGTACTTTACAAGAATTTCATTCTATCTGCGTCCGTCCACCCACTAATGTAAACATCATATATAAATGTTTTTGAAGGATAGCCATCGCACGCTGAAGAGCCACTCGTTCAACAACAATAATTATCCGTCGACGATCTGACGCGAATGGATGGACACAACAAGCGATACAATAAAGTACGCGCAGTACGATGTACGTGGGGGTTCGTTTCTCATCGTTATTCTTTAGAATGAAAAGACATTCTTTCTAGTCCATACGTTCTAACGCGAAGAATTATATTTTAGCACTTACAAATAATAAAAAAAAAAAAAAAAAAAAAAAAAAAAAAAAAAAAAAAAAAAAAACGACAAACTATGATCTTTAAATAATAGAGATAATCAAAACGCAAACATAATTACATATTTATTACTTTGATCGATATTCTAACGATAAGATTCCGATATTCTTCTTAAAAAGAAAAAAAAGAAAGAGAGAGAGAGAAAGAGAGAGAGGGGGGGAGAGTAAACAAACAAACATGTATTTTCTGATCAGAAAAGAATTTTATGATAATACTATTTGCGAAGAAAATATTTTACCGGTGGAACGTGTAAAACGTGTAGAAGGAACCACTGAAGAAACTAAAATGCACGCAAAATGGAATAAGCACGAGAACAGTAAGTAGGTATACTAATATAAATATTTCTAAATTAATATTTAATAAATCTAATTTAATGAAATTTTGAGGGAAACGAGGAAATGTTAAAGTAAGCAATATTAAAAACGAAAATATGACAATGAACAGGACGATTGTGAATAGCGATATCTTTCAAGCTCTTTTTCCTGTTTATCATATCAGCAAGGTATGTGGTTTGCTTCCAGTTCGTTTCACGAAACAAGCTCATGGCCGATACCAAGGTCATTTGGAAGTTTTCGATGTAATTTACTGGTAAGACATGTTATTTCTTTTTTTTTTTCTTTTTTTTTTTTTTCTTTGAATAATTTCCTTGACAAATCAATCCATTCTTCGTTTCTATTCAGCATATTACTTCTTGGAGTTGTCATGGGTTTAGAAGTTTGGGGTCTATGGCGAGAAATGAAAGATGGCTGGGAAAATAGTATCAGACTAAAATCTCATTCAGCTGTAATACCAACTTGTAGTGATATTCTTGGAGTAATAATACTGGCTATTATTGCTGTATTAGGTTCGCCATTTCGCTGGAAACACGGACAGATTGTTCTTAATAAGTTGGCCGAGGTGAATGGAAAGAATCTCATCGTGAGATTGTCCATGAAGTTTGTATTTTTCATTTTCTTCAATTCTTACTTTATTTCTCATTTCTCTTATATATGAAAATCAGATCGACGAAACATTGGGTATCGTTGAACCGAAGAAAACTCGTAGATATACCATTGTCCTATCCGCTTGCGCTCTTACCTATCTTGTTATAATAACGAGTCTCGATATGTGTTGGTGGGATCACTATTCAAAGGCAAATAAAAAAATGAGTGACAAGGGTCCGATCAACTATATGCCTATTTATGTCATGTATATGATCATCATTATATTGGAAATCCAATATAGTCTTATCACATACAACGTGTGTCAGAGATTTGTGAGACTTAACAAATGTCTCGAAGGTATTTTAAAGACAGGCAAAGTGACCGATCATTTTAGAAAAGATCTTGGCTTGGGTGAGTACTATACTTCTTCTTTTTTCATTTTTTCGTAATAATAATTAAAATACGAATCGTGTCGCGTGATCAATATCAAAATGATTTATAGGATAATATTTTTTTTTATATAAATCCTAACGCACAGCCGGTGATATTAAAACTCGAGAACAACCAGCTTCGTACATTCGTATATCCAAGGCCTTAGAATGGTATCCTGTTGGATTTGGTAAATTAATATTTATATAAATATAATAAACTAGATTGAAATAATTCGAATAGAAAAACTTACCGTATTCTGCACTTTTTTTAGAAACGAAAAATTTTGCAAATTATATAGCTCAACTCGTGACAGTGCACTCGTCTCTATGCGATACGGTTTCTTCTATAAATAATGCCTTCGGTCTCGTAATGGTAGTAATCACGCTTACCTGCCTCTTACATTTGATTATTACACCCTATTTTCTAATAGATGAAGTCAATGGAAATCGTCAATGGTTATCCATCATAGATCAAACTTTGTGGTGCATCTTACATGTCACGAGAATGCTTATAATCATACAACCTACTTATTCCACTACCATTCAGGTGAAATGTTTTATTGACCCGTTCGGTATTGTCTGAATTTTAACAACACATAATGTTTACAACTTAAAAAAGTAAAAACTCGTTTACAGGCAAAAAAGACGGCCGTTCTCGTTAGTCAACTGCTTTCTTCTAATCCAGATGTGGAATGTAGAAAACACTTGGAGGTTTTTTCGCTTCAAATACTACATCGACCTTTGGACTTTACTGCTTGTGGACTTTTCTCTTTAGATAGATCTCTCGTTACTTCGGTGAGCGATACAACACGGAAAAATGAATGTCGTTAGGTTTATTTTCATTCAATTCTTATTGAGAATTCTGTATAAGTTGACAGATTCCATCGATATCGCTCGTTATTCATAATATATTACTAGTGCCAATGTTTCAGATTGCCGGCGCGGTAACGACATATCTCGTAATTCTCATACAATTTCAAAAAGAAGACACTACGAAAGACGATGTAGATAACATTTTGAAAAATGCTACGCAAATTTTGAGAAATGCCTCGTCTCTTCATAATTTCACAACGATCAAACATAATAATACATAAATGTTCTTGTGATTTTTTTTTTTTTTACAGACGTTATAAGTAAGTAAGTATTACATACACCATTGACGTCTTCGTTTAATTAATAAATTGAATTAACTTTGTACGTTCCAATAGAGTCAAATAATGCTCATTTCGGTGTCCATCTATATGGACATAGTCAATTGAAATAGGCATACGGTAATTATATAAATATAGGCATGCGGCAGTTATACAAATAGTTTATATAAATACAATATTCTGTCCACTTTTAATTTATGCACTGATATACACATATATAATATTTATCCATGTTACAGTAGTTCGTAGATTTAATCGCCTCGTCCGTTGTTTCGTAGAACTATTTATCTGCCGTTTTACCCACCTGTTATAATAACAATAAATGTAATGGTGGATGAAATATATGTTTGGAATGTCCCCATGTAATGTCCGTACCGTTTACTTTCATGTAAAAATGTTGTGTTCGAAAATTGCTAATTACAGTAGTTCTATTGCCCAATAAATATATGCACTCTGTATAAATGTATATTATATAGATTGACCGATACTTTATGTCCGCAAATTCTCTTCGCATCATCTTATGAGATGAAAAGGAAGAAGGATACATCTAAAAAAAAAGTGTTGGCACTATACAAATGCGGTGGGATACCACGATGACATTTAATATTCCAATTCTCATACACGGCGACAATATACAAATACAGTTTCGTCGTAACGTTATCCCGCTGCTAATTAATTACACAATAGAGAGACTATTAATTAGCAGTAAATCCCGCCTAGCGCCTAAAATTAGACATCAGTCACAGCCTATCCAAAACATGCCTCACCTTCTCTTGCTCTACTATCGTATCGAAATACCTAAAAACGGGAAACTCGAAGAACCTCTTTCAAAAGAAACCAAGAATTTTGGATCGAGTTACTCATAAGGTATATACAGCTTCGTATACTGACTCTTTTTTTTTTTGCTGCTATACACTTTTCGTACAAATTATTACTCTAGCAATAAATATTAGATCATTTAAAGAACCTAACGCGTATCTTAGCAACGCGTACCTCATTTATGTATACGATACAAATTATGTATAAATCCGATAGCAATGATTACGCATCGGAAACAGATAATGCTCGGCATTATTGAAAGTGAGACCCAAACTGCATTTTCCAGTCGCGGATATCAAACCAAACGCTCAATTCACCGTACCTGCTGTAATGGACGGTTGTGATTTCTGATGAGCAGCCTGCAATAAATTGTCGCAGCAAGTATCCTTCGTCATCGAAATAGGTTTTGCCCTTTGATAAGTCACCAACGTTTCTGAATTAGATGATAGATCCGTTTCATGATCTATTTTATTTTGATGTCGAGCACTGCACTGGCAAGGACTTGTGTGATGATGAAGTCGAGAGAAGCAATCTTTGCAAACTCTTACAGGATTATAAAGTTGTTCACTGGGTAATGGCGTAGAATTTTCTGAACAATCCGCACAGAATATCTTACCGCAGCATCTACAAGAATGGCATTGATATTTATCCATTCCTTTTAATTATGCCATTCTTATCGATTCATTTCATTTTATTTTTTTTCCCCCTTTCATCCACACTCTCTTGTTTCGAATATTTTCTTATATTATTGCATACCTGCAATGATGTTTACGTCTACCAAGCCAAAATTCTGTGTTGCAACCCATGCAACGATTTACTGCATGATCTGGAACCCAAAGAGTTGGAGCTGGTACCAAGTCTTCGACGGCTTCCCATGACATATCCGATGGTAAAGATTCTCCGTGTTCTCCAGCACTGCCCACTGAATCAGGCAGTGAACCCTGTAACTCGACAATTTGTTGCTCATCATTTTTAAAAAAATATCTTTACACCTCTCTGCACTCCTTCGATATATGAAAAAGAAATATAAATTAAATATGCAATGCCTCATAATTATTGACCTGTTAGTAAATTTCCGAAAAATGGATCGCAAGAAAACAAGTGTGATGTAAATAGCAGGAACGCAATGATATTCAATAAAATGTTTTGACCTATATATCAATAATCGGATTGACAAAATGGAAGCTTCTTTCTTCAGAATCTTCAATTAAATATCTATACAATATGTAATATTCAATCAACAGACGATCCATACAATTAAAATTTCAGTAACATACTTTCTGTATAAAGAAATACCATAGAAATTAAATAAGCCTGGAGCAAATTTTAAACGGTTAATCTTAATACTAGACTTACAATATCATCAATACGATCGGTATCTGCATTGTGGTTGCACACTTGTTTAATTAATGCTAGCCTTGTTGTATGTAATTCCTTTCGTAATGCTTCTTCCTTTAGCTAAAGAAACAGGTATACAGCAACTTTCAGTACAATATTCAAGAAAGGTGTTTTGAGAATAAGTCAACTAAAATCTGATGTTTATAAAAATTTGTGACATTTTATTATTTAAGTCAGTCATGGGCGACCTACATTCCCTGATTAATATTTTGAGTATCCAAAAGATTCATAAGAACAATTTACAACTCGCGTCTGGTTTTTCTTAGGTAATTGAAGATGAATATGAATTTTCCTTCTTTTTCAAATTTCAACGAATTAAGAAAAAATAAATATTTTATGGTTTTCAGTCAACATATAATTAATACTTAATGAAATCGTTCTTGCTTGGATAAAAAACTGTTAAGAAACATTTATGGATGGCGAAGTCCCTGCAGAAACACATGCATCAACAGTAAATGAGTGACGTGACACTCCAAGTATTAATTCACTCTCGCTGATAAAATTTCTAAAACAATTTTGTTAATGGATTTATGAAATAAACATAACAGAATATAATTAAAAATATTTTTTAAAGGTAGCTCATGCCTGGCTTAAAAGTCAATGATGAGTGATCTTATATTAAAAATTTTTAATCTTTTGTCTTTTTGATCGCTTGTATACCTTGTGCTCGACGATAATCTGTTGTACTCGTAACTGAACATCACAATGAATAACAGGAAGACCATCGACATCATCCAGCCTATCAGGATTATCTAATATAGCATCCTGGTGGGTTGGAGAAGCTGGACATATGCTACTTGGTGTTCTTGATATCAATGGAGCACTGGTATCACTGACATCGCTACCTTCGGTGTGATTACGATTACAGGAACAAGTACCTCGTCCCGTTGTGCCAGTTTCAATCCATGGTGAAATACTATCTTGTCCTAGATTTGTTTGCAATCTGCAATTGATATATGTAATAAATTGACATTGATATTACGAATATTTTATAGGATATTTTATACCCCCCATAAAGTTATAGCTATTTTTAAAACGTACATTTCTTTCTCCCTATTTACAACACTAACAAGCGAATCATTGTTCGGTATTAATGTATCTGTAGAACTATCCACTGATGGATTAGCAGGTGACTCGCTCGATGCTTGCACTGTAATATACTGTTTGGTCTTAATGTCAGTCTCTGATGGATCTGCTTCTACAGTTTCAAATTTGTTATCATCTACGTTATTTACTATTTTTTCAGCCTCAACTTCCAAATTTAAGGAATCAAATTTTCTATAAAAGGAAACATTATTAATATAATTAAATTATTATATACAAAATATATTTATACAAGTATCTATTTAAATTATCATTTACTTTTCAACGGAAATACTTGGATCGCTAAGTCTGCGGTGAAGGTAGGTTACATGATCGGGGGCGTGTATAAGATCTCCGTAAGAACGTGTTTTAGTCATTTGTCCTTGTGGTTCTTCACTTTCACCTCCTTCTATATCTATCATCGTAACTCTTTGCTTATCATCCCTAATACCAAGTGAGGATTCCATAGAACCTAAATATACTTCTGACCACAGAACAAGATCTCGTACATTACAACTTGGCCATAATACCTAAGAATAATTTATATAATTATATATATATATATATATTATATATATATTTAATCAATGAATTTAATATGCTCGAAAATGTTAAAATACTTGATGAACATATAGATTTAAAATATAAAAAAAAGAATTATCTTACTTGATTTTTTAAAGGTGAATACAAATGATTAACAAACAAAGAAGAGTTAAGAAATCGCCATACTGAAAAAGTACGTTCTTGTATTCTTAATTGTAATCTTTCCTGTCTTGTGTTACATAAAAATGTACCAAAGAGTTGTGAATATGTATGCTGTGCTAATTTTACCTATAACATAAATTAAAAATATTAATCTGTTCTATATGTATACTTTTTACCGATACAATTTATTACAAAGAATTATATACGACTTACAAGATATGCAGGAGACATTTGAAAACTACACTGAAATTGTCGAATTAACTGATGTACACAATCAAGCCATTGTAAAAATACTGGGCAACGTTCGTTTGGATCTTCGCAACCGACTGTTTGTCCACAGCGATCAGCAAATTTATGTCCAAAGTCTAACCATTCTCTCTCACATAATATTTGAAATCCCTGAATTTAAAAATTGTCCGTGTATTCAATAATAAATATGGAAAATATTGTGGTCTTACCTCCATAGTACGGTAATAGGGATCTAATAATATCTGTGCTAAGGCAACAATCTGTGGTGTCCTATCCCAGCCATCACTACAATGCACTAATACTGGTCGTCCATCTCGTTCAATAGCTGATGCAACTGTAACTGCAGCGCGCAATAAACCTGACATATGCTGTAACCATCTAGTACCTTCCAACAAACTCAACCAACTATAACAATGCATATAGAGCATTAAATCATTCGAAAATAATTCATATTTATTTATTATTTAATTAACTCACTTTGGTTGATCAGCATCAGATGCACACAATTGTCTGACAGCATGAAAACTTTTTCTTATAGAATGTATATTTGCCAGATTCATAAACTGAATATCACAACTTGGATAATATTCAGGACATTCACAACCACCACCACGTGCTCTATTTGCTACAGCAGTTGTATAAGATCTAGCATCCACGATTAGAACTTTCTATAAAATGATTAAAAGAAAATTTATAAATTTTATAAACTTTATATTATTTTTATTATCTTCATTTAAATAAAATTTATATTTACTTTTGTAACACTTGGAGTAATCGCATCATCTCCAACATCAGAATAGTTAATAGGTGAGTCAACCATTGTGGATTCTCCTTTATCATAGGAACATGCATCAGACAAAGCTTTTAAAAGATCCTCATCTTCAGAACTTCTCCAACCCAACCAACCAACTTCTGGTTGACTGCTACGAGCTATTACCGC